CCCCAAAACCCCAAAACCCCAAAACCCCTTACTCTTAAAATTGTAATATTTTAAATGATCTAAGAATATATTTAATTAGATATTTATAACTCTGATAATATTAAATGATAGTTCGTGGAAATCATGTTCAAAAGCGATTCAGAATTCTTCATCATATATTTTATAATCATCATCCCACTAAGGTACTTAATTTCCTTCCTCTTTATTTTTCACTTGTTTAGCTTTTTATTGGGAAAATTAATCGAAGACTATTTATCTAATTCTACCTGCCATCACATTTTTTTCAGCCCAAATAGTATCTTATCCAATTTTACCTAGGATTGATATCACTTAATTCAATCTTCTTTAGACTTCATTCTCCACAAGCTAATTAAATTTTTATTCCTCTTCTTTTTCAATATCAATTTCAAAATTCTAAGTCTCCTCTTTAGCATTTGTATTTACTATTATTTCCTCTTTTTTATCTTGAACATTATCTTAAGGATGAAATTCTTATTTTTAGTCAGGTTCTCTACAATTTTAATCAGCATTAAAAATATTAGGAGCTAAATCTGCATCTTCCTTGATTACTAATTCAGCCTGCTCTGTATTTTTTCCCGATTTATATAGTAATTCGAAATTCTAAATTCTTTTATTACTTTCTAATTCTATTTCATTTTCAGATGCTTTCTTTTAATTCTTTCATTATTAACTATTGGTTTATATCTTATTTAAATCTATTACTAACTCAATATGGGCATTATTACTACCACTATATTTTTAATGAATGATACTATCAACAACAAAGTCTAGATCATCCTTGTGTAGGATAAAATTATCATTCCTCTAATCTTTGTTACAAGCCATTGCATCCTTGTATACTGAGGATAAATATGCTTATTCTCTTTTTTCAGGATGGAGATGCTTAAATGCATCAACATAACCTTTGTTTATAAAAGTTTAAAATAATTCTATCTCTTATTAAGAAAAGGAAGTATTATATTCTTTTTCTTATTCAACAGAAAATTCCAATTAATTTATAGCTAAATTGAAATTACCAGCCAATATCAATGGTTTTTATTTTATAATCCTAATTTTATCTAGATATTCGAAGAAATCTTTATTCCAGTCTTAAAAACTTTAAAAATCACTACTTAAATCTTTGCCAGCAATAGGTAAATGAACAATTATCAAAGTAAAATTCTTGAATTCTGCAGTAATCATGCTTCCTTCATCTTAATGCTTCTCCATTTCAAATTCAAACTAAACAGATAAGGGTTTAATTCTTGTAACAAGACCAGCCCCTGCATGTCCTTTTTAAACTTTTGAGCAATTCCAGTATTATTCATATCCCTCAGGAAGTGAATGATGCAGCTAATCAGATAAATTAATATTTTTATCAGTTTTCATATCATTAAAGCAAATTATATCTGGTTTATCTTTCTCCATACATTTTTAAAGTATTCCTATATTAATTATTGATGATAACTCATTCATATTCCAATACCAAATGTTGATTTAATCACTCTAGATATCTTAACTTAAAACTTATCCATAAAATTATGTAGGTTTAATTATAGATTTACCAAAGAATTTTGCAAGATTTTATTAAGTCTTGTTGGTCTATTGTCTTGAAAGAGTTTACTTAGAATCAATTTTTAAATTGGATTCTTTGTTCTCTTCTTCTATCAGGAGTTCCCTCTTTTTAGTTAATTTTTTGGATGACATTTAAATTATTTGAAAATTTATTTGAATTTAATAAAACTTATATAATTTTCCTTTTGTTTCAGACTTTAGATTCTTGGGGTTTTGGGGTTTTGGGGAGATCGGAAGAGCACACGTCTGA